GTACTTGGGGGTCGTGCTTGTATCAGGGTGCGGCACGCTGGGGATGTACTCAGATGGTGGAGCTGATACTCGTCCTTGATGAGCCCAGATATCGACAAGTTCACGGAGAAAGGGGGGCTGTCCTTCTCCCTCCTGCTGTGGGCCACGTTGAATTCTGCGTTCGTGCTGGTCGGCTCCATGATTGTTGCCTTCATAGAGGTACGGCCACCAGGGAGCCCTGGATGGTGGGAACTGCTCCAGCTCACCTACTGCAGCTTCTGCCAGTGAGGTTCCTGCGGTCACACTAGTACAGATGTTAAACGGTTCAGTAAGAACACCCTCCTTACCCTGGTGGTGCACCCACACCCACCCCACACGGCAAAGACCATGGGGGAATGCACAGCTCACTTCTAGGAGGTCCCAGTGGTCCAAACGGAGGGGGCCACCCACCCGAGAGGATCAGACCCTCCTATGGTATCCCTTCATTCCAGGACTCTCCCAGAAGCCCTTCCTAGGGCCTGCCTCTTTCTGTGCTCTTCCCTTATCATGGGGTGTTGGAAAAAAGAGGGGGAAACATCCAGCAGCTTCTATCTAGTGTGCAGTGCGGTGCCCCCCTCCCAAGGCTAGGGCCTGCCTCTTTCTGTGCTCTTCCCTTATCATGAGGTGTTGGAAAAAAGAGGGGGAAACATCCAGAAGCTTCTATCTGGTGTGCAGTGCAGTGCCCCCCTCCCAAGGGGGATCGAGGAACTCTGGTTCCTCTCAGCTAGTGCATGATATGTGCCTCCGGTCTGTCCTAGAGTGTCCCCACTCTACCCCTGTGGGAGGCACTGCACCTCCTTCCATTTCCACACCCAACCCCTCCCACACCCCACAGCATTTGCACCCCTCGGTGGTCGTTCTACATCTGGGGTGGGAGAAGTGGGAAGCCCCTTCCCAGGCAGCTGTCCTGTCCAGTCCCATGTCATCCCCTCCCCACCCTGAGCACCATGAGGCTGAGTCTCCCTGGGCCTCCTAATGTACGTCCATTCATTCAGCTTGGCCAGCTCCGTGTTCTCTTCTCTCTCCTTCCAGCCAGTTGCTGCTGGCAGCGGGATTCCCCAGATCAAGTGCTTCCTCAACGGGGTGAAGATCCCCCACGTGGTCCGGCTCAAGGTGAGGAGGTGACCCCTGGGCTGGGAGCACGGTGCCCATCATGGGGATTCTTTGCTGGGTTAGAAACCTTTTGTTTGTCCACCTGCATCTCCTAAATTCACCAGACCATATTGTGTGCTGCTGACGAGCATGTGCATGGATGTGCTGGAAGATTTTGTACATTTTCTTTGGAAAGTGGTGAAAACTTTCTCTGCACATTTTATGTAACAGAGAAATGCTTCAGTGGTGTGCGTGCTGTGACCACCGTTGTGGAGCGTGTTTGTCAGTTCCTCACAGGGGTCAGCATTCCAGAATGAGAGCACCTGTGTGGAGTGGGAGCCTTGCTGTGCGCTCTTTCCATTTCTCAAAGTTTTCCTAATACTCATGCTTAATATTCTTGATGACACACTCATTCCAAGGGGCTGGCAGGTCAGGCTTCCTCCCATGGCCATTTCCGGTGTTTTGGTCTGCGTGCCTCAGCCGATGCTTTTCTCCCGCCCCCATCTGGGGAGCAGGCGCTCCTGGGGGCCTGGACACACTGGGGGAGCAGAGTGACCTCAAGGGGGAGCAGTTGTGCTGGCCCCTCTGAGTGCCTCTTTGTCGCTCATGGGTGCTGGTTGTTATGTTACTAGTCTTGCTTTGTGTGCAGGGCTGTGGCTCAGGTTCTCAGACAGCATGCAGTCTGTGATCAGAGACTTGACACTCTTTCCTTTGTGTTCCAGACGCTGGTGATTAAAGTATCTGGTGTGATCCTGTCCGTGGTGGGAGGACTGGCGGTGGGAAAGGTAATGCAGCCCGAGGAGCGCTGCTCGGGCCTGAGTCCCTCTGCCCTCCATGTTCTCCTGAACTCGCCTGATGGGGCTGTCCTGCACTTTCCAGGAGGGGCCGATGATTCACTCGGGCTCCGTGATTGCTGCTGGGGTTTCCCAGGGGAGGTCAACGTCACTGAAGCGAGATTTCAAGGTGAGTCCTCTCCTGATGCAGATGTCGATAATGAGGGTGACCATGAATGTTCCTTGGAAGGCGGGTCCTTCCTGCTCTGTATCAAGACCATCCTGACTTCGCATCTGAGGGTCTCCACAGAGTTCTGTTCCGGGTGGCTCTCCTGGGCCTGCCAAGGAGACTGCTGGGAGCCTGGTTCACAGGGTTTTGGGTGGATGTGCATTTTCCTGAGGAAATGGCCATCTCAAAAGGCTGTGTGACCTAGAAAGAGGTCAGGAGTGACGTGCTGGCAGACAGAAGATGCTTAATATCTAAGATACACTTCAGAATAATGTTGTCACATTTCCCCAGAAAGCCACCAGCTTTTTGATGGGCATTGCACTGAATGTATATACGAATTTGGAGACAGTTAACATTTTTTTACAGAACAGAGTCTTTTAAAATCAAAAATACACTTAAGTTTTTTTGTTGTTGTTGTTGTTGTTAATCCTCACTCAAGAATATTTTTCCATTGATCTTTTTTTTGTTTTTTTCTTTTTAATTTATCTTTATTGTTAAAAGTGTTACAGATGTTCTCTATTTTTCCCATTGACCCCCTCCACCCCATACCTACCCCTCCCAGGCCTTCACCAGTGTATTTTCTGAGTCCATGGGCTATGCATATAAGTTCCCCGGTTAATCTCTACCTCCTCACCCCCCACCCCTGCCTTCTGAGATTCATCAGTCTGTTCTATGCTTCTATGTCTTTGGATCTATTTTATCCATCAGTTTATTTTCTCTGTTGATTTTTAGAAAGAGAGGGAGGAAGGAAGGGATAGAGCTAGAAACATCAATGTGAGAGAGACACATTGATTGGTTGCCTCCCACATGCCCCCCTAGGGCTAGGGATTGAACCTGTAACCCAGGTACGTGCCCTTGACTGGGAATGGAACCCGAGACCCTTTGGTGCGTGGGCCGACGCTCTACTCACACTTGCCAGGGCCTAAGGTTTAATTCTTGCGATAGAGTCTCTTCATTATTTTCTCGTGGTTGTTGGTGTGCAAGGAAGCTCTCTCTTGTTGCCTCTTCGGTTCTGCAGTCTTTGTGAGCCCAGGAGTTGATGAGTTGACTGTCTAGAGACTCTTCCTCTCCCTCCACCGCCTCCCTCCCCGTCCCTTTCTGAGAAGTGCCCTTGGGGAAGCTGGCTAATGCCCTGCTCCTGTCTGTTCTGCCCCATTGCAGATCTTTGAGTACTTCCGCAGAGACACGGAGAAGCGGGACTTTGTCTCGGCAGGAGCCGCGGCTGGAGTGTCTGCTGCGTTTGGGGCCCCTGTGGGTGAGCAGGGGCCCTGCCTGGTTGACAAGTGACGGCCTGTGTTGGGCAAGCCAGGCTGTCCGTGCCTTGAGAAGGAATAGTTTGGGTGTTTGCAGACTTCGGTGCTGGGTGGTAGTGAGGATGTGGGGTGCCTCCCGAAAGGCCCCATGGCTGCCTCTCATGTGGGCTTGGTGCCGTGGGTCTGGTTGTGAGGGGCTCTGGGTGCGGGGCTCCCTGTGCCTGGGTAGAAACTTCAGGCTGGGCCACTGCGTTCCAGGCGGGGTCCTCTTCAGCTTGGAGGAAGGTGCCTCCTTCTGGAACCAGTTCCTGACGTGGAGAATCGTAAGTGCCCACAGACGGTGCCTCTCCCCAGGTCAGGCAGCGCCCACGTCTCACCTTGGTGTCCTCCGTGGTCCAGTAGACACCACACTCTGGGCCCACGCTT